CTTATTTATACTTTCCAGCTTCCACTTATTTATGGCTAAGGGATTTTCTGACCCAGAGTTGGCACGTTTTTATTCAATAACTTTGAATAGAGTCTCCTTCCGTGGATTTGTTTGGTTCACTTTTGAATCTGTGTCAACTTCCAGCACCCTTAACAGCCTCTGAAATGCAGTTCCATAACTTACTTAACACCTGAGTATGCAAAAATAAAGTTGTTTCCTTGGTTTTGAACTGCACTATTAGTTTCACGTGATGCTCAGCTTTTACACGTGAAGAGGATACAGTCATTTTCCACTTACCCTTTTCATGTCATTCCCAGTCCTGTAGATCTCTATCAAATTCTCCGTCAGTTGATTCTACTCCAGGCTGAAGATTGTCAAACTTCTTTTATCACACAGAAACTGCTCCATGAGCCTGATCACCTTTATCACTCTTCACATATGCACTCTGAAATGGGAGCACGAGAATTACTCAGAGCACCGAAGAAGCAGATTGTACCACAGCTCTACACAGACAGTCATGTTTTCCAATTTGTCTTCTATTTCTTTCATAATAATTCTGTTTTTTCCCCTGAAGTCAATGGAATTCAGAATTCCTAAACTTCTGTTATTTAACAAAAGGACACTGTGCCCAGCTGTCCCCCTAACAACTACCAACACTGACGATGTCAACACCGTGATATCTGCAATACTTCTGGTCCCGTTACAAGACACTGCCTTATATTTATGATTTTCAACTGTCCAGCTTGGCTTTCAAGACATTATTGCCCTTTTCACATAGAGCATGACAACAATCTCTCCTATTTGTCCATAGATGAGTTATCAGCTAGTTCTTTCTGTATTTTCTCTAGCAAACAACAGTAGCTCAAAAGTAGTTGACTCTTCTAGAAAAGCTTGGCGAGTGTGAAGTTTGCTCTTACCTAGATGAAGTGGAGATAAAACTACTTACCATGGACAAAGACAAAACCTTTGGGGACCTTGATGTAATTAAAAATAAGCCCCTGCCCTCTTCAGATAAATACAAAAAAATCTCAAGCAATGGCTGATTTAACTTAGGAACTCAAAAGATTAGAGGAACTCAAACTGATTGGAAACTGTCACTGAGGGGTTTAGATCTCCATTTCCCTTTTCTAGATTTTAGTTTCTTCCACCAGCAGACAAAAACACCAGAAGCAATGTGAATTTCACAAAAAAACCTGACAGTGACTCAATCAGTGATGCAGTTCTACCAGCATTGCATTGTCTCTGGTTGTCCAACCCTGTATTACAGGTAAAATCTCAAATATTCTTCAGACCACCTGGGAGAAAAATAAGGTTATACATGTGCTACAGAGAATGTAGTCTGAATACAACAGAGCTTGTTCTATGCCCATCAATGTCAAAAATCACCTGTAAAATCTTTATAACTGGAAGGGATTTCCAAGAAGGAAAGAATGATTTCTCACAAACCAGACTGGATTTTAACTACCGAAAAAAAAATCTGCAAGATAAATAAATAGATTCAGAATTCAGGAAGCTGAAGAAACAAAAATGGCAACATGGCTTTCTATAATCCAAGTCATGAAATCACAAAGAAGGGCTCCCATAATTAAATATAAAAAATAATTAAAAAATTACATAATTCATTACAATCTTCCTTTTCTTTTCATTTGTAGCTCACAAGCATTTGTTTTTCAAGAGCACTACATGAAGACCAAGTAAGACTGGACAGAGAAAGAAGGAGGCAGCTCTTGTTAAGATTCACGAGGGTAACGCTAACATGCTGTAGCTGAATCTCATTTGGAGCCATTCAGAAGACTAAAGGTAGAGGAGAGATATTCCAAATATGTATTCATAGAATATTAAGATATAGACATAAAATACATAACAAAAAGGCTGACAACCTTCAGGACAGATGGCTGGCTCCTACATTTTTGCCAGGATATGGTTTCCTCTCTTCAATTATGACTAGATTTGTCAAGTTCTGATTATGTATCGACATGAAATTGTTGCATCCAATCACGTAATCAAAACTATGCTACTAATAAGCAAAAATTACATTAAAATAACTATCAAATATTCTCGCTAGAAAACTTCACACATTTCTATATGTATCTTCTGAAATTTAAAAGCAAGTCAGAGGAGCAGGGTGAGAATCTGTATTTCTATATATGCATAATATATGCAATACACACTCAGCCTGGTTTTGAAAAGAGCCAAGTTACGATAGAAATAAAAATACATTGTAGGTGAAATAAAAACACATTTTAAGTAAAAAAGAATATAAAATTATTCCAAAGACAAAATGCAAACATACCAGGTAGTTTCAGTAATAAACTGGAAATTACATGAAATATGAAAAACAGTAGAATTCCTTGGTCTGCCAATAATTCCACACTGATATTATCTTATCTATTGATTATATAGAAGTCTAGAAAGCAAGTATTATTTTCTTTTCTTCATGATATATAAGAGCAACAACTATACAAGTCCTCAAAATCAGCTTCATCCGTCTATCACAGTTAAATTTTGTATATTGGCAGAAACATATTTAGGCAATAATAAGGCAGTTTTGAAAAAATCTGCAAGAAACATAAAATTGGAACACAATAAATTACTTCAGAGTGGGGGATACCACAGGAGAACTCAAAGGTAGAAGTTTTTCTGCAGCCAAGACAGAAAGATGATTAGAAGCCATGAGTGTATAGTTAATATTTTTTCTTTCCATGTGAATTTTGTCCTGTATTGTACCAGAAAATCAAATGATAGGATTTTTTAATTCTGTGTTATACTGCCCTTCTGAATGCATTCCTCCTCTTTGATTGCACCATCTGGTTGGCAATTTGCCTAAGTGTCCTTCCTGCTTTCTCGGAAACTAAGTGTGGATGTGCTTAGGAAAGAAATGGGAAACATTGCCACTCAAAGAGTTGCCTGCCTGCACCATTTTAAATCTGCTCCCATTCTTGTCCCTTTTCTTCTGTTCCATCACCGTGTTTCTGCCTCTTGAGCATCCCTGTGGCAATGGACTGGGTTACTTACCATGGTGGTGATAGGAAATGTTTAAATTTCAAATAGGTTTTTAAAGAAATATTTCCATGTATTCCCTCCTCAAATGGAGGAGGTTTAGGTTGGTTTATGTGGTTTTATTTAAGGTGCACAGCACCATTGCTTTTTAATATGTGCTGGTGTATCCAGACACATGATTCTGTCCCTTTCTTTCTCTCCCTTTTTTTAACCATGTGTAATCTGTAAATAGGAACTTATTTTACACACATTTTCCCCTTTTTATTTTATCTATAAGGTCTTATCTCAAAACACTGCTAATGAACGTATTTGTGAAGATCCAGGGGCACAGATTTTGCTGAAAATATCTACGTCTTCTTACCCAGGAACTAACTGCACATCTAGAAAGGCTTGTCTAAACTAGTGAGAGGCTGCTTAAAGACTTCAGGTTAAACCCATAAGCCATAAGAAATCTTGGGAGGAAAGCACAAACACAAAATTGAGATCCTTCAAAATCTAAGCTCAGTTAGCACCTAATCCCATCGTTTATGGCTATGATTGCCAGTCTCATAGCCATCAATAGTTCTTTCATAGAGAGCTCCTTACGTGGACCTGCCTAAAAGCACTCACTCTTCACAGTGCTGATAAACTCAGTGCTCCAGTCAGACCCTACTCTCCACTGGATTCACAAGTATTCCTCTGCCTACCACATTGCCTCCAAAGGATGTTCTCCACCTGTCTAATTAGATTCTTTAAAAAATATGCCATTTGATCTCCTACAAAAGACACCTGAGATATTCCTACCTTAGTCACTAACTGGTACCAACTGTTCATTTTGTACATGTTGATCTGCACACCACCCTTCTCCCTGTGCCTCCCTTTCTTTCCACCTTCACTTCAAGTATTGCAATAAAAATTGTAACCCACGAGTCATAAATAGAACTCATTCGTTCTGCTTACACCCCTGGAAGAATGTGGTGCTCTGTGAGCAGTGCAGTTTATGATGCTGGCTTCAGTATGAGTAGGGAAATCCCTGACACTTATACACTTCAGTAAGTGAGGGTTTTTCCCTTTCCTCACAAACGTTGTCTTTGACCTCAGCTTTAGATCTCTGCACAACTCAAATCTCCTGCTCCCCTGCAGAACCAACTCTGCTATTGCTCTCTAACTGCTGCCTGGCTCAGTGGCAGTCTGTTCTCTTTTCTGAGCTATTTATGACTTAATTTAGTGCCACAATGTTTGCTGAATATTTCTTTAAAAAGCTTTTTGATACCTTGACATAAATAATCATGAAAACCAGCAATTTTTAACGGGAAATGCCCCTGGTTTTCCATTAAAATAATTTTGGTTATGCCAAAGCAATGCAACTGGCTATAAGCAATGTGTTGAACAATGTTTTGTTACAGTTCTGCCTATGAAAGCTTTTGCAATATTGAAGGGATGTCAGTATTTTCAAAGGGATGCAACATCTATATTTATGTATGCAGAGACTATTAAAAAAGAATAATCCTCTAAAAATATTCTGAGTACAAAACAAGTTTTCAGCATCAAAAACACAATTATATACTATAGTTAAGATACCCATATTGTCTTAAATAAAACCATTATTCTACTTTCCAACTATTGAGACATACTGCAGTATCCAATATGCCAGAGCAGTGTAACTGTTAGTAAATGATGACTTTTTAATGGGAAATCCTGTACATGTTAAAAATATGATACTCTTCCTAATCATATGTAACTAAAGATATCTTCTGCAGATCATGAAGATTTGGAAACCTCTGAAAAACACATGTGCCAAGCAAACCACTAAAAGCAAGGATATACTGAATTTATTTATTAATTTATACAGTGCCCATCTAAAAGCACAGTCTGGAATCCTATACAGAATAAACAAAAATTAAACCAAACTGGGCTCAGAGCCAAGAGAAATCAAGTGTACCAATAAAATGGGGGAGGGTGAAAGAAAACTATTCCAAAAAGATATATACATGTCCAGATACTGTGCTGTCTTAGTGGACACATCATAATATCAATACTGGAAGTAACAGAAATACAATTTACAGCAAGGATAGAAATATTCAAGGGGAAAAAAAAAAGAAAGTAATTATGA